TTCCGATTTTGTTAATTCTTTTATTCGACGTGGTCATTCGTATTGTGATTTCCGTGTGATATACATCGTGAAAATGGTTCGATTCACCGCAGCGAAATACGCAGATATGGTGGCAGTTTATAGTGTTGCGGGGGGCAATGGGGCGGAAGCTGCTCGAATCTACGCAGAGCAGTTCCCAAATAGTGTGCTGCCTGATCCACGTACCTTCAGGAAGGCTTTTCAACGGCTGAGGGAGGGTAACGTCCGCCCAAGGCACGGCGAAGGGCGCCCAAGACAAGCAGGTCACGTGAAGTTGGAGGAAGGAATTCTGGAGTGTGTCGAGGAATATCCAGGGATGTCCATCCGGGGAATCGCATCCGCATTACACACGGACCGTTCCACGGTTCATCGTGTGATTAAAAGTGTAGGTATCCATCCATGGAAGTACACGCGTGTTCAGGAGCTGAAAGCGGAGGATTTGCCGAAGCGTGTGGAGTTCTGCCAATGGCTCCTTGACAGAAGTCGCGATCCCGATTTCATATGCAACGTTTGCTGGACAGATGAGAAACTTTTCGTGAGAAAGGGGATTATCAATCAGCGCAATGAGCATCATTGGGCTATTGAAAATCCTGGTCTCGCGGAAGAATCGAACTATTAGTATCGTTGGGACAATATGAACATGTGGGGAANGAAATCGGGATCGCGACTTCTGTCAAGGAGCCATTGGCAGAACTCCACACGCTTCGGCAAATCCTCCGCTTTCAGCTCCTGAACACGCGTGTACTTCCGTGGATGGAAACCTTCACTTTTCATCACACGATGAGACGTGGAACGGTCCGTGTGTAATGTGGATGCGATTCCCCGGATGGACATTCCTGGATATTCCTCGACACACTCGAGAATTTCCGCCTCCAACTCCACGTGACCTGCTGGTCTTGGGCGCCCTCCGCCGTGCCTTGGGAGGACGTTACCCTCCCTCAGCCGTTGAAAAGCATCCCTGAAGGTACGTGGATCAGGCACTACACGATTTGGGAACTGATCCGCGTAGATTCGAGCAGCTTTCGCCCCATTGCCCCCTGCAACACCATAAACTACCACCATATCTGCGTATTCCGCTGCTGTGAATCGAACCATTTTCACGATGTGTATCGCATGGAAATCACAATACGAATGACCACGTCGAATAAAAGAATTAACAAAATCGGAAAAACAAATAAGTTGTGAGCGAGCTCACGTATTTCCCAAAAGAACTTCTTTGTTTTTTCATTTGTTTTTCCGATTTTGTTAATTCTTTTATTCGACGTGGTCATTCGTATTGTGATTTCCGTGTGATATACATCGTGAAAATGGTTCGATTCACCGCAGCGAAATACGCAGATATGGTGGCAGTTTATAGTGTTGCGGGGGGCAATGGGGCGGAAGCTGCTCGAATCTACGCAGAGCAGTTCCCAAATAGTGTGCTGCCTGATCCACGTACCTTCAGGAAGGCTTTTCAACGGCTGAGGGAGGGTAACGTCCGCCCAAGGCACGGCGAAGGGCGCCCAAGACAAGCAGGTCACGTGAAGTTGGAGGAAGGAATTCTGGAGTGTGTCGAGGAATATCCAGGGATGTCCATCCGGGGAATCGCATCCGCATTACACACGGACCGTTCCACGGTTCATCGTGTGATTAAAAGTGTAGGTATCCATCCATAGAAGTACACGCGTGTTCAGGAGCTGAAAGCGGAGGATTTGCCGAAGCGTGTGGAGTTCTGCCAATGGCTCCTTGACAGAAGTCGCGATCCCGATTTCATATGCAACGTTTGCTGGACAGATGAGAAACTTTTCGTGAGAAAGGGGATTATCAATCAGCGCAATGAGCATCATTGGGCTATTGAAAATCCTGGTCTCGCGGAAGAATCGAACTATTAGTATCGTTGGGACAATATGAACATGTGGGGAAGAATCATTGGTGATGAAGTCCACATTTATCACTTACCAGGACGTCTCGACGTAAGTATTTTTGCTGTATCCTACACGGCAAAAAATGGAAAAATGGCTCCGTGTTAATTTACCATTAATTTCCTGTCCAATTCACTCCGAACGGTGTCCCAGAAAGTCCATACCATGGACGGTGTGGACTTTCTGGGACCCCGCTTAGCGTGAGCGGGACAGGGAACCAATGCTAAATCAATACTGAGGCCATTATTCTATTTTTCACTCTGTATGATTTCATTATCAGTTGAGTAATTATTGTAATTTTTTTTTGTTTCAGGGTGGCAATTACTTGGGATTTTTGCAAGATCGCCTTGTAACTGTCGTCGGTGACGGTCCTGGTGACAGAGATATTTGATTCCAGCATNTCAGGAAGGCTTTTCAACGGCTGAGGGAGGGTAACGTCCGCCCAAGGCACGGCGAAGGGCGCCCAAGACAAGCAGGTCACGTGAAGTTGGAGGAAGGAATTCTGGAGTGTGTCGAGGAATATCCAGGGATGTCCATCCGGGGAATCGCATCCGCATTACACACGGACCGTTCCACGGTTCATCGTGTGATTAAAAGTGTAGGTATCCATCCATAGAAGTACACGCGTGTTCAGGAGCTGAAAGCGGAGGATTTGCCGAAGCGTGTGGAGTTCTGCCAATGGCTCCTTGACAGAAGTCGCGATCCCGATTTCATATGCAACGTTTGCTGGACAGATGAGAAACTTTTCGTGAGAAAGGGGATTATCAATCAGCGCAATGAGCATCATTGGGCTATTGAAAATCCTGGTCTCGCGGAAGAATCGAACTATTAGTATCGTTGGGACAATATGAACATGTGGGGAAGAATCATTGGTGATGAAGTCCACATTTATCACTTACCAGGACGTCTCGACGTAAGTATTTTTGCTGTATCCTACACGGCAAAAAATGGAAAAATGGCTCCGTGTTAATTTACCATTAATTTCCTGTCCAATTCACTCCGAACGGTGTCCCAGAAAGTCCATACCATGGACGGTGTGGACTTTCTGGGACCCCGCTTAGCGTGAGCGGGACAGGGAACCAATGCTAAATCAATACTGAGGCCATTATTCTATTTTTCACTCTGTATGATTTCATTATCAGTTGAGTAATTATTGTAATTTTTTTTTGTTTCAGGGTGGCAATTACTTGGGATTTTTGCAAGATCGCCTTGTAACTGTCGTCGGTGACGGTCCTGGTGACAGAGATATTTGATTCCAGCATGATGGGGCTCCAGCTCATACGTGCGTGGCAGTAGTGGACCAGCTGAATGAGTGGTTTCCGGATCGCTGGATAGGGAACCGGAACGATCGGGACAGGGGTGGACGTCGCCATCCAACTGTGGCTTGGCTCCCGCGATCTCCAGACCTCACTCCACTGGATTTCTTCTTGTGGAATACTCTGGAGTCCCGGATATACCCTCACAATCCAGGAAATCAGGGGGAGATGACTGCCCTGTTGCACGCTGCAGTAGCCACTATCACTCCCGAAGAGCTACAACGCATGAGAGAATCATGGAGAAAACTGTCCTTTTTAGGACAATGATAAAAATCGGCCCTTTTCAGGGCCACCAAATAATAACGTTGGATTTCCATCCTTTCACCGTAGCCATGTGATGGTTAAACGTCACGACGGTCACTTGGTGGAACGTCAAATTTCACAAGGGTCATTTGGGAGGGAAGTGAAACGTTATAAGGGTCACTTGTGGGTGGTCAAACGTTAGGAGGGTGTCTTGAGGGAGAAACAAACGTAAGGAGGGTCACTTGAAGAAACAATCAAACCTCACGAGGGTCACTTGAAAAATAAAAATCATTTTTAGAATCTGAGGCTCACAAGGCTCATGAGAATTACAAGTGGAAAAAGCCAATGTAGGGACAATTGTGAAATTATGGATGTCTCATTTAACACCATGTGTATTGTGTAAGTAGCAACTTTGGAAATTGTTTCTGTTGTTGTCAAGCTTCTAGGCTATCTGAAATATTGCAGCTCTTGAATTGTCAGTAATTCAAATTTTTCCCGAAAACTATTATGATTTTCCCTAGTGACTTTTGTGACGTTTGACCATCCGCAAGTGACCCTTGTGAAGTTTGACTCTTCTCCAAATGACCCTCGTAACGTTTGACTCTGCCCCAAGTGAATTTCGTGACGTTTGACTGTCCCGCAAGTCTCTCTTGTGACGTTTGACTCTCGCCTAAATGACCCTCGTGACGTTTGACCAGCCGCAAATGACCCTTATGAATTTTGACTCTCCCCCAAGGCACCCTTCTAACGTTTGACCATCCGCAAATAACCCTCGTGACGTTTGGCCATTCGCAAATGACCCTTGTGACGTTTGACTCTCCCCCCAAGTGACCCTCGTGACGTTTGACAATCCCCAATGTCCATCCCATAGCTACGACCATGGCCAAATGTCCAAATAAACAATTGTCTTAAAAATGGGAAAGGGACGGGCTCTGATTTTCGTAAATTTTTTTGTTGAAAAACACTTTTTTACAATTATCTTGTAAACAAATGGGTTTACTGTTGAAGATTATGGAATATACGAGTAGGATAGTACACAAGTATAAGTAGACTCAAACTTGTAATAACACGTGTTTATTACACGGCTGATTATACACGACTGACTCACAGAGTGATGTAAGAATTTCTCATACAGCCTGAAAATATATATATATATATATATATATATATATATATATATCTTTCTATATGAGTGTGCGATCACTATCTTCAACACTTCCCCTCACTGGTGCAATGTTGGACGTTCCGTAGTTAGTCCAATCATGGTTGCCAGTGTTTTTGTTCTCCGTGCTCCAAGCGGTTTAGTGAGGATGTCAGCTACATTCATCTCTGTAGGGCAACATTTAATATTTAGAATATTTTCTTTTAATAATTCCTTTGTTTTCATAAATTTCGGGTCAATGTTCTTTGACCGTGAACTTCTTCCTTCATTGATTAGAATGTTCGTGCAGCTCTGATTATCTTCGTCTATGATTGTAGGCTGATTTTGCGTCTTATGGAAGAACTCGAGGAGTTTTGGGAGTCAAATGCACTCTGTAGATGGTTTATACAACGCAACAATTTCTGCTTCAGTTGATGAGGTTGTCATACATTCTTGTCTTTTGCTGGCCCAGCTGATCGTTCCACCGAGATCTTTGAATATGTATCCTGAGTTGGATTGCCTAGTTTCTCGATCTTCTGCCCATTTGGCGTCAGCGTAGCCAACAAGTTTTAATTCATCGTCATGGCGGTTGCTGAGCTTGAATTCATAGTGTATGGTTCCTTTGAGATATCTGCAAATCCTTTGAAGCTCTTCCCAGTCAACTTGTGTAATTCCCTTAATGTGCTGAGCCAGTATAGCCACTGGTGCTGCTATGTCATGCCTGGTATTAATTGAGAGGTACAACAGGGCTCCAATCAGCTTGTCGTAATATTTATTCATTATTTTTGATGAATCGGCTCTGAGTTTCTCGTAGCCAGTGTCCATTGGATGGCTTGAGGGTTTTGCATTCTCAAGTCTTGCACGTGCTAGTATTTTCTTGATGTAGTTGATCTGGTTGATGGCAAATTCCCCGTCGTCGTTTCTGTGTACTTCAATCCCCAGGTAATAGCTCATGTTTCCAAGATCGGTGAGACAAAATTTCTCGTTTAATGCTGCCTTTATGCTCTCAATCCTCTGGAGAGAACTTCCTGCTATGATGATATCATCGACGTGCACAATCAGATAGGTGAGGATTCTCTGTCCATGTTTGTATAGACAAGGATCTTCAGGACAGGGTTGGAAGCCGTAGCTGGTCAGCAGCTCGTTTTGGACTTGATTCCATTTTCTGGCGGCTTGCTTCAGTCCATATATGCATCGATTGAGTCTGCATCCCCAATCTTCATGTTTTTAATTTTGGACTCCTGGTGGTTGTTGCATGTATATGATTTCCTTCAATGGGCCGTTTAGAAATGCGGTTTTTACATCTAGGTGTTTGACATGATATTTATTACTCCCTGCAATAGATGATAGAGTTCTCATAGTCATTCCCGTGACTACCGGAGCAAACACTGCGTCGTAATCAACAGCATATTTTTGTGAGAAACCCTGGGCCACCAGTCTTGCCTTGAACCTATCAGGTTTTCCATCTGAAGTCCTCTTTATTTTAAAGACCCATTTGCAGCCGATCATCGATTTTCCGTTTGGAACAGGTTCAAGATCTCAGGTTTCGTTCTCCTCCAGCGACTTTAGCTCCTCCTTCATAGCTATCTTCCATTGCTCCTGGTGTGGTCCATTGATGGCCTCTTCGTAGGTCTTGGGTTCGATCTCATCGGCGAGTACTTCATTATCATAGATGTATTCATACTCCTGTTGATCATTATTCAAATGTTTAATTCTTTCTGCAATAGGAATATCCTCGGCATCGTTGTAATCATCGTCAGAATTGCCCTGTTCGGCTTCCGTTGAAGTGGATGGTTCATTCCGTATGGAGTTATACTGTGGAGCTTCCCCTGGAGTGCATAACTGAACTTCGGTGGTGTTGGATTTTCCCTTTGCCATTGGTTCATATGACATGTCAGAGGGAATATATGTAATTTCTTTAGTTGCATCTTTGAGCTTTTTCTGTGTCGCAGGTTCATTTTCGAGTAAAGGATCAGCTAAGTCGTACATTTCTCCCTCAGCGCGAGATTCTTCGATGAATGTTACCTTTCTGCTCGCGATGATTTTTCGAGTTGATGTATCTAGCAGCCTGTAACCCTTCGATCCTTCAGGGTATCCGATGAAAATGCATTTTCGGTCTTTGGCATTCAAGTTGGTTCCATTTTTATTTGGAATATGTGCGTAGGCTTTACATCCAAGTACTTTCAAATGGTTAACATTTGGTTGCTTGTTGTGTCAGAGCTGGTAGGGGGTTGCTTGTCTTGCTCTTGTGGGGAGTCTCTTCTGCAAGTATGTGGCAGTCATGACCGCTTCTCCCCAGTATGTGTGTGGAAGTCTCGCATCAGCCAGCATGGTCCTCACTGCCTCCATCAGGTACCGATTCTTGCTTTCGGCTACGCCGTTCTGTTCTGGAGTGTATGGCATGGTATGTTGAAATTTTATCCCTCGACGTTTCAGGTTCTCTTTCAGATCGTTCCCGAAGTATTCTCCTCCTCGATCCGATCTGAATGCCTTTGGTGTTTTCCCGTGCTGATTTTTGCTAAGTTGAACAAATTGTTTTATGACTAGTTCTGCCTGTGATTTGTGAGTTAAAAGGAATGTGTGAGTGTATCTACTGACGTCATCAATTAGAGTCATGACATACTTGCTTCCCCCAGGTGTTGCTGTTGCCATTGGTCCACATAGGTCTGTATGTATGAGATTTAGAGGTTGTTCGGTTATTGTCGGTGATGCTTTGGGGAATGGCTTCCTAGAGATCTTCCCCTTGACGCAGAATTCACATATTACTTTTATCGGGCAGTCGTCGATTTTCATTCTCGCGGTTAATTCATTATTTTCCAATTTTCGGATGGTGTCCAACACGGTGTCCAAATCGTGCATGCCAGTGGTGGATACAATTATCTGAATGATGGGGGATTACTACGTACGCATATTCTGGAGTTCTCAGTTTATACATGTGTCCTGTACCATCTCCAACAGCAATCTCTTGATCATTTTTGAGAATAGACATTTGTTTGTTCTCTATCCTCACTTGGTAGCCTTGTTCATCAAGTGACCCAATGGAGATAAGTCCAGATTGGAATTCAGGGACATACAAAACCTTATTAAGTGTCAATATTTTTGTTTCTCCAGCTTTCGTGAGACATCGAATCTTTCCTCTACCTATTGCGTAGACAATATAGGATTGGCCATTAGCCACTTTCACTTTTGAATTGTAAGTGGTATCTATCTCTTCGAAGAAATCAATATCGTTAGTCATGTGACTACTTGCTGCTGAGTCAAGATACCAATATTTCTTTACAATTCTTTTCTCTGTGTTGACTGCGAAAGCTAATTGAGGTAAGGTGTCAAGGTCACTGTCTTGCTCACTGTCACTCGTAGTTTCCTCGAGCACAACTCTAGCCTTCTCTCGTTTTCTCTGTTTCCTTTTCCAGGAGATATATTTATAACACTCATATTTGACATGTTCCGGTTTCTTACAGAAGTAACATCCAGGTAGTGCTCCCCTCGATTTGTTTACTCTTAGTGCTGTATCTGTTTGCTCGCTTGTTTCCAAAGTTTTTCTTCTTTTGTACTGGCCGATTAGCGTTCCTTTCACTACATCCATTGTTAATTCACTCTCTGGCTTTGAAGCCAACATCGATACTAGAGTGTAATATGATGCTGGCATACTGTACATCAGGATCCAAGGTCCAAATTCAAGGATACTTCTGCTCCCAAGCGATGTAAGATTGTCAATTAATTCTCCTATATTCGCGATATGTTTTTCCATATCTTCTCCTTCAATAAATTTTGAATGGAAGAGCTCTACTATTACCGTGAATTTGTTGATGCCACTTGCCTTTTCATGATAGTTCTTAAGGGCATCCCAAGCTTCTTTGGCTGCGGTTCTATCTCTTACATGAGTTATCTGATTGTCCTCTAGTAGCAGGCAAATCGTGCCATGCGCTTTGTGATTCATCACTTCTCATTCTTCAATTGCATCTTCATCTCCCGTTGGCCTATTTGTTGTAAGTGCCTTCCAAGTGTTTTCTCTTTCAAGTAATTTCATTACTTTAAATTTCCATATTTAGTAATTGCTGTTATTGAGCTTAGCAAAACCAAATATTGAACTGCTGAGGTGATTCATCTCGCTCATTTGAATAATTCGCGAGCTGCACTGAATTAAACTTGGCTGAATCTCTTCAATTTACTTTAATTGTTTCACTTTAATTATTACTTGAGACTTAATCCTATTTTCGGATCTGGGACCATAACCTGTTGAAGATAATGGAATATACGAATAGGATAGTACACAAGAATAAGTAGACTCGACTGATAATAACACGTGTTTACTACACAGCTCATTATACACGACTGACTTACAGAGTGATGTACGAATTTTTCATACAGCCTGAATACATATATATATATATATATATATATATATATATATATA